GTAACTTACCACCTTCTCTTAAAATACAACAAATGATCTCTTCTTCCCATATCCCATCTCTCATCTGTAAACAAATCCTTAAAGCCTCGTTGTTTTAATCCTGATCAGTAAAAGTCCAGTAAGGGTTATCAGAGATAACAACGTATCTATTTTAACCTTGATCAGATAAATCAACTTTATATTCCTTCCTTTTACTTTTAACAATCTTAATCTTTAGTCCCTTTAAATAATGTCCTAGTACTTGATTTCTTTTCATTTTTTTCTTTGTCCCTTCTCACAAAATTCTTCAAAGCTTTAACAATCCTATTTTGTAAATAGGAAAATTATCCAGGTCACTCTCTTGGTTTGTTATTTAATCTTAATCTTTAGTCCCTTTAAATAATGTCCTAGTACTTGATTTCTTTTCATTTTTTTCTTTGTCCCTTCTCACAAAATTCTTCAAAGCTTTAACAATCCTATTTTGTAAATAGGAAAATTATCCAGGTCACTCTCTTGGTTTGTTATTTGTATTTCCTTTTTAATTATTAAGACATCAGCCAGTTTCTTTTATATGTCCAGTGTAGCATTTTTTTTCCATATCATTCTTGTAGCCTGTCATTTTTAAATCCACTTTCAGATCAGTCTCAATCTTGTCAAGTAAAACTTGTTCCTCTTTCATAACGTTTTTTAAACACAGTCTATCTATAGAGGCAGACACTTTTAAAATTAACTTCTGGGTCCACTGTTCAAAAATATCCAATATTAAAATATTTTGCTTCATTCTGTATCAGTAAGTGAAAGATAAATGTTTTTCTCCTTTAATTGTAATCTTTAATTCCTTCTGGTTCCCTGTCCAACCTTCAAAGTCTCATCCTATCATGTTTTTTTTCCCCGAGAATTCAAAACAAAAGCATTCTCCCATGGGAAGGATTCTTATTTGAATCTTATTTCAAATTCATCTGGACCCTTAGTCCATTTATAATTGTCTAAAATCAAAGTTTTAATCACTGTTTTGCTCTTTATTCCAAAATAAAAAAAATTTAAGTCCTTAAACTTGTATTTAAAACTTCTTTTGTTAACGATTGAAGGAAAGTCAGCCAGTGCTGTAAAACCTGTTGATCCAAAGCTTCCTAACAACTTAAAAGAGTTAACAAGCAATTTCCAAAAGTGATTAGAAAAGGAAGTATGCAAACCCAGTGTCCTTAAAGGCACCAACCATGGTTTGAGCAAGATCGCTATTCCCTCGTCTCCCAAAACCATTGGATACTGCTGTCCTATGGTCTCCTCACGAGGAGCAACTGTGTGGGTGATCTCATCTCCTTCTCCAGAGAGGAATTTCGAAGAGCCTTTTTACTCACTGGCTCTTCATTCTGCCGTGGTCATTGGCTCCGCTTTTAGCAGGGCCATCTTCAGTTCACTATTTCTTCCCCTTATATGTAAATCAAACTTTTCTTGCTCACAGCACAAGATGTACAAGGTCTAGCACTATGGTGAATGCATTTGTACTGCTTTTTGATTCTGTTAGGAATACTGATTTCTCAAGCCCATTTCAGAAGTGCTAGCAATTACAGCACATGTCCAGTAGAAAAGGCTCAGTTTATGGCTCAGTTGAGTAGGGGCAGTGGAAGAGGCCAGGAAGCTTCTCTGTTGCAGAGCAGTAAGTACCACTTCCTGAATTAGTATATGTGTATATATGGGAGGGTGCATGTATATCAGTGTTTCTCAACCTCAGCAACTTTAAAATATGTGGACTTCAGTTCCCAGAATTCACCAGCCAGAATTTCTGGAAATTGAACTCCACACATCTTAAAAGTTGCTGAGGCTGAGAAACACTGATCGATATATATGCATACAGTAGCATCCAT